CACAATCAAGTATATTTTCTTCATGTGTAAAACTTTTTTCTCCCTTTCTTTGATTTTAATAGGACTGGTACTTGTAAGACCGAGCTAGAGGTTAGTGGAACTGTTGAATTATAATCCCCTTGCCTCCAGCTGCTGCCCTGCTCCATAGCAATTTTCTTAGTGTATTAAATTTGCTCCTTAATTCTACTTTTATTCATTTTTTCCTTTTGATCTTTTTCAAACATGTCTTGAAATGTTTTAGACATACTACAAAGCAAAGAATAATATAGTGAATATATCCTACCACCCCATTGTGAGGTAACACTGCCAATAGAGCTCAAGCTTCTTGAGGACCCTTGTCACATCTGCCTATCACTTTCAGTCATTGTTTCATATAGTCCCTCTCACTTTTAAAAGTAAGACACTAAAAGCAAGTGTCCTAAGAGATGTTGAAGAAAAATATATTTTATCAGATTTTTTACCCTTTCTTCTCTAACTTGATGTATTTTCCCAGAAAAGGCTAGAATCCTCAGTTTTGCCTATAAACCAAGGATACCTTAGGAAATTTTTTGTGACAGTGAAAATGACTATTTTAACAATCCAGAAGAGAAGGAGGTAGGCTAAGTCTTATTCTAGTACTTCCTATCATCACTAGGAGGGTTTCCCATGCTCCCAGAGATCAGTGTTCCACTGTGTCCTGTGTGGATTGATTTCACTGAAAACTGCTGCTCATAAGCAAGTGGTCCTGCAGCTGGTCCTTTTATTCATCTTCAACTCTCTGACCTGTGGAGTTTTCTAGGAGCTGCCATGAGCACTTAAAAGTGACAAGAATATCTTGTACTTTCTCTCCAATCATCCCATTACCCTTAGCTTTCTTGTTTTCCTTACTTGTTCATTCTGACTGCCTTTCGCTTCTGTTAAAGAGGACTTGGTCTAAAGAGTAATCTTAGGCCTCACTTGTCTTTTCTTCATTTTTTATAGAAAGTTTCAGAAGATTTTTTTTTTAATTAAACATTGTCAAAAATAAGTAAAATTTAACATTGTGATCATTATAATTAAAACACATTTTAAACTCATAGTAAAAATATCTTCCGCCTAAGGGAAAAAAAGGTTAAACCTATTATGGAAGATGTCTCACTGTGGAACTTACTGTCATGATGTGGTAAATTTTGCTTTGCTCTGCTTATATAGCTACCTGAAGCTCCATCTGGTCTTAACTGCCTGGAAAAATTGTAGTGGCCTTACAAGTAGCTGGTAATGTTGGAAGACTGGCCTATATTTCAGTGGATTTTGGAGAACCTGTGGTGATTTTTTTCTGAGGTTTGCATGCTTTGACTTCCTTTATGCAAATACTTTTAGCTACCGAGTAGATTTTTGTTTTACCTTGTGTGTTTTTCCATACACACAATGAGGTCATTCTGGGTTTTAAGGGCAAAGCGGAGGGGAGGTACTAAGTTGAAAAGCATATTACAGCTCATCTTTTCAAGTCAACCAGTATTTATCAAGCTACTCTATGGGAGGTACTGGGATAAGATGGTGGTACCTGTCCTTAAAATCAGAATGACCAGACTCAGTGGAAAGTGAGTTTTAGAAGGTATTTGAACCAATGTCTGTCTCTGATTATAAAATGAGATGGAGTGACACAAATGTCATAATAGAGGTAAAAGTGAACTATTGAAAAAAGTAGAGAATTAATTCCAACTCAAGATATGCAGGAAGATTCATGGCAGAGTTCTTGTTTGAGCAGGACTTTGGAGGGCTAAATGCAAAGAGAAAGCCTTGGTAGGACGGGAGAGGGAAAATATTCCTATTTATGACTTGTGTAAATAAGAACTTGGTAGCTTAGAAGATGAAGTGTTGAATGCATTAAGGAATAATAGTTTGAGGCAGAGTCAGAAAAGAAGCTTGATGCCAAGTCATGGAGGGCCGTGAATGCGAAGCTGAGGGGTTGGGACTTGATTTTTCAGGCCTAAGATTGTTTCATACCACAGAGGGGAAGAAAGACATGGGTCCCCCAGCTCATTGGTGAGCAACTGAGACTAATGGACATTGTATATTCTTCAGGTAGTTTGGGATGAAGTTACAGGAATTGAGAAAGTCACAGCTCAGAAATTCTTCCTTATAAAGAATATAAAACTTAATGTTATGGCTCTTTTGGAATGTGTCTAGCAGCTCTCTGGTCTGTGCTGGAAGGCACGTCCCACCCCCACCCCACCAAAAACAACCCAAAAACGAATATAAAACTTGACTCATCTTAAGTAGTCAGAAACCTCTTTAAGAGTACCAATTTCAACAACTTTATTTTTGAGATTTGTTTTGGTGTATATATTATAAAACCACCTGTTTGAGAGTTGAAGTCTAGTTTTTTCTCATATGTGATACACTTTATCTTGTGGTAGCTACTCAGTTAAATATATTCCTGAAGAGTATTTAGTGTGACGGAACCAAATTTGTGTAAATTTCTATTGTAATATAATTAATCTGATTATTTGAGAGCAAAACTATCCATCTACTCCTACTCCTGCTCTATTCCCATGAACGTATGCTTTGAAATTTTTTTCTTGCCAGGTGTGTGACTCATATCTGTAATCCCAGCACTCTGGAGGCCAAGGCAAGAGGATTGCTTGAGCCCAGGAGTTCAACACCAGCCTGGGCAGCATAGCAAGACCTTGTCTACAAAAATAATACAAAAGTTAGCTGAATGTGGTGTTGAGCACCTGTAGTCCCAGCTACTCAGAAGACTGAGATGGAAGGATCTCCTGAGCCCAGGAGGTCGAGGCTGTGATGAACTATGAGTGTGCCGTTGCACTTCAGCCTGGGCGACAGAGTGAGACCTTGACTCAATCAATTTGTTTTTCTTTAGAGTGAGACCCTGACTCAATAAATAAGTAATTTTTTCTTGTCAACACCTTTAGTGAAGAAACCAGTATTAAAATTTTAACCTTTAGAAAATACTGATGTTTGCCATTTGCAGATAACAAAGTTTCCTACTATTTTTTTTCTTTTTTTTTTTGAGTTGGAGTCTCACTCCGTTGCCCAGGCTGGAGTGCAGTGGCACATTCATGGCTACTCTAGCATCAACCTGCTGGGCTCCGGTGATCCTTCTGCCTCAGCCTTCCAAGGAGCCAGAACTATAGGTGCACACTACCACACCTGGCTAATTTTTTATTTATTGTAGAGACGAGGTCTTGCCAAGTTGCCTGAGCTGGTCTCAAACCTGTGGGTTCAGGCAGTCCACTCACCTCAGCCTCCCAAAGTGCTGGGATTACAGGCTGAGCCACTGAGCCCAGCCCCTACTATTCTTAACTTAGAAATAATTTATGTGAGTAGATTTATTTCTAATTTATCTTTGTTTTCTATAGGACACAAGTTGTTTGGTTCAAGGATAGGATTCGCATACCTTTTCTTAAAGGGTCAAGGTACTCAATATTTTAGGCTTTGAAGGTCACATAGTAACTCTGCTTGTTTGAATGTGAAAGAACCTACAGATAGTACATAAATGATTGGGCATGTGTGTGTTCTAATAAAACTGTGTTTATAAAACAGGCAACAGCTGGGGTTTTACTCCTGTCTAGAATTTTCTTCCATTTAAGCTGATTTCATGTCTGAAAGAAAAAGGGGAAGATGCCAGTCAGATGACTGCATAAGTAATTCCTATCACTTAAGTAACTATGGTTTGCAGAGGCCATTATTTTTGTTACACTGTATTGCCTTTATATGTATAATCACAAGCAAAATGCTTTTCTTTCATCTTGTTCTACCTTTTCCTCAAATATTCTGAGAGCCCATTATGTACCAGGTGTTAGGCTAAGCACTGGGAATAAATGGTGAACAGGCAGAGTGGCCCCTGCCCTCACAGGAATATAGATAGACCAATAGATGGGACAGACAGTAAGCAGAGTAATTCTAGGTTGTGATCAGCATTATGATGTTATCAAACATGGTGCTGAGAGAGAATAAGGGGGTGGGGCTGTCCTTATAGAGTACTGGGAGACACCTCTCCGAGAGGACTTAGTCATGTGAATAACTTGACCAGTCATCTTCCCCTCCTCCCTCTGCCTGAATGTCAATGTAGACAGACATAGATAAGCTGTTCAGATTTTCATGGAAAGCATTAAAAGCGGTTTTATACTTTTCTCTCTCTCTTTTTAGCTTCTTAGGTAAGAATAAAAGCACCTAGAACAAACGGAAATTTTTTTTTGTCTTCTGGTTAATACATGCACATAAATTCTGAGTACAAGTGTTGGCTTCCAGAATAAAGATTAGGGCATTGTGACCTGTTATTTAGAGCCTTTGGGATTTGTGACATTTCTTAAGCATTCTCTATTCATTTTGCATTTGCAAGGTTGAGACTGCCTGTTTGCTTTAGGATGGTGCTCCTGAAAGGACGTGCAGTGGGAGCGCGCCCTCTGCCGGCTGCCTGTCACTCAGTTCTTTATCCTGTGTAGCCCAGTGTGAGGAGAAGCTTCCTAGAGGGTGTGCCCAAGGGTAAGGCTTTGGATCTCACCAGGCCTCCCACTGTAATACTACATGCTCTTTAGTTCAAGCCTTGGGGAAATGTTCACAACTAGACTTGTACGTTTTTAGCTCCTATGCTCTGCCGCTTTTCTCTTACCTGTGACCCTCTGACTGTCCTTTGCTTGACTGGCTACTGATGCTTTGATGGAAGGTAAGAAGTAAACTGAACATATGGACTGAATGAAGCATATGTGTTTTTACCTACTGCCTTTGGCAGCTAAGAACCCAGCAAAGGTTGCTTCCATTTGACTGCTGTGTGATGTTGACAGATGCACAAAATGAATACAAATTGGATATGTGTGTGGTAGCATTTTGAGTCTTTGTACAGGAGGAGCATGAAATGACCATCTTGCAGAAGCATTGCCCATTCACCATGTTGGCTAGGTTTGGGTTTTTAATTTTTGTTCTTGGGGCATTTTGTTTGTTTGTTTTTGTTTTGTTTGTTATTGTTTGTTTTTCATTTTTATTTTGTCCCAACATTTTCCTTTATAGTCCACCATTAGATATTGATCAGTTGAAGCTCATTTTAAGACTCGTTGGAACCCCAGGGGCTGAGCTTTTGAAGAAAATCTCCTCAGAGTCTGTGAGTTGATACTTTGATTGTAATTATCTGCCCTTTTGGGAGCCTCTGCCACTTACCTTCTGTCAGTCTGTACTTTGACCTGGGTATGTTTGTAAGCACGCATGCCCTTTGTGTGCTGACTTCCAGGATGAGGTATAAATGTGTATGTGTGTGCGTGTGTGTGCACGCACACGCATGTGCACCTGCTTGTATGCATGAGTGTGCTTTGCCCTTTCTTTATCTGGGTAACATGCTTAGATCATGGGATCCTCCATTGGGCAGTAGTATCCCAGCAAAACAATGAGATTTGATATTGAAATTCATTACAAGAGATTCGTGGAAAATTTCTGTCTCCATTCTCAAACCCTGATTCATCTTTCAAGATGCTCTTTTCACTTTTTCTAGTGTTTGTTCTCAAAGCATGAACTTCACCATGTAGTCATCTAACTTAATCACTCAAAGAATGAAATGTGCATTATCTGAACACTATTGCCCTTTTCCAGAAGTTACTTGCTTATTATTGTTTTATAATAGACAACTCACACATTTGGTGTAAGGTGTTTGTTCCCAACCAGAGGTACCTTTCTGTCCAGTCCCCAGACAACTCAGAATAAACCCCTCCACTTCAGATCCATGGTGGTGTAATTATAAATCCTTCCTCCCATAGCCTTCTTTTATAATTAGAAATTGAATAGCCTGAGAAAATGCTTTGGGACTGGTACTTTCCTGCCTCCAAGCAGGGATTTAATCAGAAGCCAGGAAATGTGACTCTGGCTTACTTTGTCTATGATTTCCTGCTGTTGATCAATTTCTTGGGTCAGAGGTGTGAGAAGAGCCATGAAAGCCTAGCTTTTCTTCCTTTTCTCCTCTGTCTGCCACAAGGCCATTGAACAAAAGGGGGAGAGCGCTATGGAGCTGAGCTCCAGTTGTGCTTTCCTGAATTCTCCTCTCAACTTCTGACTGAAGGGCCCTTTGCCCAACTGGGGATACTGCTGGGTAGCTTGAGGCAGGCATGAGCAGGTGAGTTGGAACTGTTCCCCATCTTCCTGACAGAGAATATCACTGCTTGGTATGTATCTGGTACATCTCTTAAAAGGACTACAAAGCCCAGTATTTCTGCATTTCCACTCTGAGAGATGTAAAAGGGTATGGGATCCTATTTCATTTTGTTTCATTTGCTTGTCTGAGATACAGAAGCAAAAGCACAGAAAGGCTGTGACTTTCTCAAGTCATGCACTGCGTCACTTGACAGAGCTGAGTATAGATCCCAGATGTTCTGATAACATGGTCTAAACTGACCTCATGCGATTCAAAACACACTATTTTGAAAGTCATTGTCAGAATTACTGGCAGAATATCAACCTAAAGAAGTGTTTTCTTTTGCTCTATGATACATAGAAACTGACTAGAGTGAATTAAAGAAGATATCAGATGATGCTTGGAAAGGACAGTGCTTTTTTAAAAAAAGAGATGCATTTACTTGGAAGACTAGCTAGTAAGAGGACATGGGGCCGAGGAAGAGCTGGGAAGGAGCTCAGTCAATTAATAAATAGTGCTAATGAGATTGAGATAGCAAATTTGTTTCCTGTCTGGAAATGACTGCTAGCAGCCTTTTCTCAGTCCCCTCTTCCATGTCAGCCAACTGTCCTGTAGATATGTGTTGTTAATCACAAGGAGTTCTGCAAGATGAACTATGGATAAGATAGTAAATAGTATTTATCATTAATTTAGCATGTATTTTTAAGAAAGGAACACCACTGAGTACACAGCCTCATAAGGAGATGTCTTTGTGTGAAATGGGCCCATCATACATTTCAACAACTCTGCAGAAATTGAGTACAGAATATAGAACTTAACTCATATAATACTGTATTGTGTTTAAGGTAAGAAAGGGTTGGTTGGTTGGTTTGTTTTAACCTACATAATTGTGGCAAATGATTAAAAGTCGTTAAAACCTTGCAAATAGGTAGACAAGACTAGCTTGATGTTAGTGACTCTGCACAAGCACATATTTATCCTAAAAGCATATGATGTAGGGAGTACAAAATGGAAAAGTAGCAGCTAGGGGAATAAAATTGTTCAAAGATTTTAAAAATTCAGAACAAAAAAGGACTCATTGAAGGGATATAGTAACCAGAAAGCCAACAACTATTTTCATTCTCCTAAAAAATGGTGAAGTACTGATAACAGCAACAGCATTTATGAGGAAAGTCAATCTGTAAATAATAGGACATTCTAAGTAAGAGAATGCAGCAGTGAATTGAGAACACGTGAGGATGTGCTATGGGAACAAGGATAAATGGGTTATGATAGAGACCTAAGGACAGAATCTATGGCTGATGTCTAAGGTTCTGTGGTAATGAGTGAAAGAAAGCAAAAAATCATATTAAGAAAGCAAAAACCTGGCTCATTCACATTTTTCTCTAGAAATATAAATTTCCTAGCCTCCTGACAGGAAGGGGATATAATAACCTATTTGATAAAGGAGACAAATCAGAACATGGACAGGCCAGTTTTCATTCACTGAAAGGAAGAGAAAGGTGGCAGGATTTTAACATTTTGAAGCTTTGCGACCTCTTTTTGTTATTTCTCTTGGCATGCAAAATGTTGTTAAGAAATTTGTTAAAGGTAAACCTAAACTCTGTGGTGAGGCTATTAGGAGAACTTCGTACCTCCTTTTAAATTTGCTGGCCTCTGTCTTTGGGTTCAGGGAGCATGAAAGGCAGGTTGGGGCACAGAGCCCCAATTCTCTCCCCGTGGACAGCCTTAAACATGCTTTAAGCAGATGGCTGCTAAGTAATCTGACCACTGAGGAGTTCTGTTCAGCGGATGAGCCAAAGTAGAGAAATTCTTCAGGGAAGCCACATAGAAAGTGAGATTACTTCACCGTGGTGCTTATTGAAGATGATGCTTCAATCGAAGGAGATAACTAATAGTTAACAAGAAAGAGAATAGAAAAGGGGTTTACGGAATTATGTTGAGGATTTTAAAAGCCCCATAACATCTTTTTTTAGTAGGACCACATGAAAAGCTAGCAGTTCTCATAATATTTTATTTTGTTTATTATTATTTTATTGTTGTTGTTTTGTTTTTAGTCAGAGTCTCACTCTGTTGCCCAGGCTGGAGTGCAGTGGCACGCTCATGGCCACCGCAGCCTCGACCTGCTGGGCTTAGGCAATCCTTCTGCCTCAGCCTTCCAAGTAGCTGGAACTATAGGTGCATGCCACCACGCCCAACTTATTTTTGATTTATTGTAGAGATGAGGCCTCGCCAAGTTGCCCAGGCTAGTCTCAAACCAGCAGGCTCAGGCATTTCTCTCACCTCGGCCTCCCAGAGTGCTGGGATTATAGGTGTGAGTCACCATGCCCAGCCTTTCATAATATTTTAGAAGAGAGCAGATTGTGTTAATATTGATGGGACATTTAAAAGACAGAATTTTCGAGTACATCTTACATGTGTGCTTGAACATGTGGAACATCTCATAATTCTGCCCTTGTCAGATAATTGCAGAGTGTTCAGCAAGATTCCTCCCAGCTCCTTGTTAAATGAAGTTAGAATGTTCACTTCTGGAGGTAGAAAGCATTGTGGCATGCTGTGGTACAGTCTGCAGCCTGTAACTTCTTTTCGGGCTTTGCCATTCACCTCTTAACTTTCTCCTCATCTCCCTTTTTTTCACTTACCATTTTGTGTTTTGGCAAGTATTTTAAATGTACCACTACTAATGTCTTTGAAATGTGGCATTGCTTATCAGTCCACATGCCCTCCTGTGTCTTAATTTGGAGGGGTGATACTTGGAGAACCTGTGCCACAAAAGTTTAGTCTCTTCCTTGAATGGATATATTGGATACTTAATTTTGTTCAATGTTGAGTCAAAATTTTCTGAATCATCTATATTTACCCCACAGGCAAACAGGTTTTGGCCATCAGTACCTGAAAACAGTTCTCTGGCTGGCATCCTGGATTAAGGGGTAGTTTGTTTCCAGGGAGCCTAAAATGTTTATCATTAAAGATGATGCTAAAACCAAAGAAAATTAATTTTTCTTATTTGCATGGCCAGTCGCTGGCTACATGTCTAATTACTCATGCCATTCACAGAAGTGTACTCTAACACAGAGCTTTGGGCTGTTGGGTAGGGTGGGTGGGAAGTAGGGTTTTTTGTTTGTTTTGGGTGGCTTTTTTACCTTTTTAAAAACTTGAGTTAAAAGTTATTTTTTGCACTGTATGTTTAACAATGCCCTTGACTAGGCATCTAAGATATTAACCAGCTTCAGCAGATTATGCGTCTGACGGGAACACCCCCTGCTTATCTCATTAACAGGATGCCAAGCCATGAGGTGAGAACATATAGTCTGACAGGGATGTCTAATTCAGAAGGCCACATTCTCATTTTATTGCCACTGTATTACCAACATAGGTTTTAATGTCACTGAATGCTAGGCTGTACCTTGAGGGCTAGTAAGGCAATGACTGCCTGTGTGCTTTTGCAAGACGTTGACATTTGGGATAAAATGTCATCCAATCCTGTGAGACTGAAAATATAATTGATAGGATTGTAAGTAGAAAATGATGTTACTTTTATATTTGGTTTTGTGAATTTGGTGCTCATAGGCAGTTTGTTTCTTTCCAGGAAATATGCCTATAGTAAGGGTCTACCATCTGCTGATCTTCATCAGAAGTGTAGCTAATTGAAATCTGTTAGCATGCTTTCCTATACATCCAATTTTTTAATAACCAAATGAAAAGAAAATACACAAATAATGTGGAATAAATGTGAACACCTAGGTAGGACCAGGTGCCTTCTTTACCAATTCCTAACTACTTACGGTAACTCTTGTGTTATTGTCAGACGAAACTGGGGCACTTATTTCTAAGGTACCCTTAATATTTGGGGAACCAGGTTGGCATTACAGAGGGCACTTCCCAGCTTTGTTTCTACTTCAACTATATTCAGATAATCTTCTTACTTATTTTTATTAAAGGGATAGTGTTCTGTGGATGAAACAGATTGCTCTTACCTCTGTTTTCCCTTCATCCTTTTATTTACATGCTCAAATAGAAAGGGGTTGCAGCCTTGCAGATACTCAATTCCCAGAACTTTCTTCTTAAATCAGAAGGATTCTCCACTGCTCTTCAAAGCAGACCTCTCCTGCTCACTCACTCCACACACAGTGACTTAAAAGGTGAAGCTGACATAGCAACCAGAACTTTTTTGGGGGGGTGGGGGGAGAGTTGAAGTCTCACTGTCGCCCAGGCTGGAGTGCAGTGGCAACGGCAACGCTCATGGCCACCGTAGTCTCTACCTGTTGGGCTCAGGCTGTCCTTCTGCCTCAGCCTTCAAAGTAGCTGGAGCCACAGGCATGAGGCATTACGCCTGGCTAATTTTTTGATTTATTTTAGAGACAAAGTCTTTCCATATTACCCAGGCTGGTCTCGAACCCCTGCGCTCAGGCAGTCCTCTTGCCTCTGCCTCCCAGAGTGCTGGGATTACATGTGTGAGTCACTGCGCCCGGCCTAAATTTTATTTCTGAATAGGTAATAGATTCATATGTTCACTTTTTTTTTTTTTTTTTTTGAATTGGAGTCTCACTTCGTCACCCACACTCACAGCCACCCCAGCATCGACCGGCTGGGTTCTAGCAATCCTTCTGCCTCAGCCTTCCAAGTAGCTGGAACTACAGGCACGCACTACCACGCCTGGCTAATTTTTTCTTATTTATTGTAGAGACTAGGTCTCGCCAAGTTGCCTGGCTGGTCTCAAACCCACGGGCTCAGGCATTCCACTCACCTTGGCCTCCCAAAGTGCTGGGATTACAGGCTGAGCCAAAGAATCCAGCCTGTTCACAATTTTTAAAACTCAGAAGGATGTCATGAAATATATTCCCCTTACTTCTCCCCCAGCCATCCATATTCCCCTCCCCAGGGCTACCAGTGGGACTAGCTTCAGGAGAGCCTCCCATATTTGAATCTACTTTCATCTTCTTTTTTTGCAGGTTTTCTTTTTTCTTTTTCTTTTTGAATCAGAGTCTCCCTCTGTGTCCTGGGCTGGAGTGTAGTGGCATGCTCACGGCCACTGCCACCTCAACTTGCTGGGCTCAGGAGATCCTTCTGCCCGAGCCTTCCAGGTTGCTGGAACTACAGGCGCACATCACCATGCCTGACTAATTTTTTTTTATTTATTGTTGAGACAAGGTCTCGCCAAGTTGCCCAGGCTGGTCTCAAACCCCTGGGCTTAGGCAGTCCTCATGCCTCCACCTCCACCTCCCAAAGTGCTAGGATTACAGGCGTGAGCCACTGCACCCGGCGCAACCAGAACTTTTTGTAACTGTGTGTGTGTATAAATATAAATATACATACCTGCCTTTACTATTGAATTGTGTTAAAACAGGAATTTTAAGGAAGTAGCAAGCAGACTTTCTGAAGGTAATAGTGATAGCAGATAATGTTTATTGAACTCTCACTTGGTACTTTGTTAAGAAAGTACTCGGTTTTTTATCTCTAATCGTCCTTCAGCCCTGTGAGGTAGGCACTGTTATTAATCCCATTTTACAGATTAGGTATCCAAGATTTACAAAAAATAAGTAACTTACCCAGATGATGAAGTCAAGACTCAGACACAAGCCTTTCTCACCCGAGAGACCAAACAACTGTGCTGGTAATATAAATGTCATTTGTATCAGAATTTTAGTTTGAGGTGCCTTCATGAGTTTTGTTCTCTCTCAAGTATCACAATAACCATATGATATTGGCAAGTCAAATATTAATATTTTACAGCTGAGGTATTGATATGCCAGTTGAGACATGCCTAACAGATGTGGCTTATAAGTAGGAGGGGGAGGGATTTCTGTCTAGGTCATATAATTTATAAGTCACTATCCTTATTACCCTTATTAGATTGTTTAATATTTTTAAATGTGTTGGAACCTCTTAGAATAATATATTAAGCTTATGATTCCTTTTTTGTTACCAGTATTACTTTGCTAGCAAAGCTTAATATTGCCATCCTTTTGATATTCTAAAACAAAGCACCTGCTGAAGTTAACACCATCAAAAGACTGCCGGGCCGGGCTCCATGGCTCAGCCTGTAATCCCAGCACTTTGGGAGGCTGAGGCGAGTGGATTGCCTGAGCCCACGGGTTCGAGACCCACCCGGGCAACTTGGCAAGACCTCGTCTCTACAATAAATCAAAAATTAGCCGGGAGTGGTAGTGCATGCCTATAGTTCCAGCTACTTGGAAGGCTGAGGCGGAAGGATCGTCGGAGCCCAACCGGTCGAGGCTGCGGTGGCCGGGAGTGTGCCACTGCACACTGCACTTCAGTCTGGGCGACAGAGTGAGACTCCTACTCAAAAAAAAATAATAATAATAACTGCTAGACTTAAACTTTCTTTAAGAATACCAACCCCTCTGTCAATTTTAACTGTTTAGGAAGGCTGTCTCAGAAAGGGCTACCTCTTAGATATCTTGACCTCAGTTTTTAAACTAATGATCGTATGTTCAGAAAGCTGATAAAATGAACTTGATAGGTTCACATTCTTGTTCACTTGAAATATTATGCAAGTGATAGTGAGATAGCAGGAATGAAAAAAAGATGATCATCATAAATAGGGAAATTAGGATGACAGTAAGAGAGAAGTCTTTAGTGAATATCAAAGACATGAAAACAATGGAGTTAGCAGACTTTGTCAGTGACACTTGTTCTTAACAGAACCTCGATTCTTTCTTTGAGGGCTGTAATACTGAACAGTCATTCTGAAAACCCTTGTTTTTACAGGCAAGAAACTATATTCAGTCTTTGACCCAGATGCCGAAAATGAACTTTGCAAATGTATTTCTTGGTGCCAATCCCCTGGGTAAGTTGATCATATCCTCATCTCATGGATGTTGAATTGGTTATGATATAAATTGGGGATCTGAGCCGGGCTCGGTGGCTCAGCCTGTAATCCCACGCCTTTGGGAGGCTGAGGTGAGTGGATTGCCTGAGCCTGCGGGTTCGAGACCCGCCTGGGCAGTGAGACCTCATCTCTACAATAGGTCAAAAAAATCAGCCGGGCGTGGTAGTGCATGCCTGTAATTCCGGCAACTTGGAAGGCTGAGGCGGAAGGATCGCCGGAGCCCAG